TTTATTTTTATATAAATTTACTTTTTATTTTCATAATTTGCAGCTCATTCTAGTAGATTGTTTTCAAATTTGCTGCTCTATCACAAACAAACTGATCTTAACCTCTCAGGTATTCTCATTTTATTCTAGGACCAGACTTAAGCAATCATGCTTAAAACAGCGTATCTATTCATAGTATCCACCCCCAAAAGTTTTCCCACTTATATTCGAGTATTTAACAACAAGCTAAGACACACACACACACAGAATAGTAATTACACAGACACAGTCAGCCACATACCACAAAGACCACAATTTAATTTCCATTTAACCAGCCATTTTTAACTGAGTAAAATCAATCCCAAATTGAATTTCATTCGACTCGTTATCTTTAATTTTATTTGACTGATTATGCTTTTAACTGGAATCAATTTGTTTTGTCGTGAATGGCTGAAGGCAAAACGCAGAAGTCGACTGCACCCCGTTTAATGGCCAAATACACAAAAGCAAAAGCAAGAAATCAAAATAGAGAAATGCAATCATGTTGAAAATATTTGCATATGCCGCGCCGCGCCGCTCCGCGCCGCTCCGCGCCAGAGCGCCGCCCTCGAACCGGAAGCGGAAGTAAACAATGGACGGCAACAGCTCGACTCGCAGTCGGAGCTCTCGACAAAAGCCAAAAATTCGCATGAAAGGAATCCAGACCGAAAAGCGAAAAAAGCAAGCAAAAGCGGAAAACTCGATGATGCTGACGATGAAAAATCGAAAATAAATTTGATATAAAAAACTGCTTTAGTCTGCATTGTAGCCAAAGGCAAAGAGTTGCTCTGTACAAAGGGTAAAAAGCACAAATAATAATAAGAGAATACTGCTTAGAGGTTAAATAAAGAATTTTGCCATTATTAATTTTATAATTTGTTTTATATTAAAATTTTTCAAATATTTTTAACATTGTTCTATAAAAAGGTTTAAAAATATTAAAATATTCGTAAAAATAAAATTACAATAATTAAATTACATTATATCCACAGAACAGCAACAAAATGCATTTAAAAATCAATGTACCTTTATAAGAGAATAAATATTGTATATACAAAGAGCTCAGCCCGCTTACCTCATTTGTCTCTCTTATTATTTCCCGCTCACAAACGCGCATTACTTTGTCACTCTCTATCCCTCTCTATCACTCAATGTGCATTCCTTTATTTACGTCATTTTTGCCTCAAAAAAGAAAAAATCAGCTGACAAAAATTACGCAAAACATATTTTACACACAATGAGATTTACAAATAACTCACTAAACACTGAAGACACCCTTAAATCACAAATAAGAACAAATAATAATCAATTAAAACACATCTTGATTAACTTAATTAAATACGATTCTAAACTCAGGCGCACAGATTCCGACTGATCGAAAGAAGAAGCGCAAGCAAACTAAAAATAACTCATTAAGTGCGCTCCTTCGCTAAGCCGGACTTCTCTCTAATACAACAACAGCTAAGAGCAGCCGGCATTTATACTTATAAAACAATAACAAAAGCACTCAACTATCAGCGCTTCTCCACTTCGCACGCAATTCGCAATGCGCTAGCGCTCATACTACTCTCAATGGGACCATCAGTCGCTCTTAAGCTAACGGGATCAGCAGCATTTCAGCCAATGGCATGCGCGCCATGGACATATTCAATTACCCCTCCCGCTCAGCGCATCAGTGAAACCAAAATATGTAACGGCATTAAAAGCAACAGCAACAAATATTGTGCTCACGATTAGCAGAGAGACAGATAAGGCAAAAAATGCAGCAATTTGTGTGTTGTGACATCACAGTAGGGAGTTCATATGGGTGCGAGCGAAATGAAAGAATTTTCGCCACAGTAAAAAGCTTTAGTATGATTTTGTTAACAAATGACGAGCACAAAGGAGACTTTTAATCAATAATGACAGCTCACTTTACCCGCATAATTTGGAAATATCAAAAAAGTGAAAACAACCTTAACAAATCAGTATCCACTGCAGTCAAAAGGCATCGCCAGACAAAGAGCTCAAAAGAAACGAAAAGTTGAAAGCAAAACTAAACTGCAAGTGTGTAAAAGGCAACTAGAGAACTGTGTGGAAATTGAGCGGGAATTAGAAAGTGTGAGAGAGACAGAGAAAGGTAGAGGGAGGGAGAGGAAAGTGAAGGAAGAGGCATAAGGGGAAGGGGAACCAATGAGAATTGTTGGCAGTTGGCATTGGCATATTGAGTGAAGTTTTCAAACGTCAAAGTCGATTGCAATCTGATTAATTAAGAGTGGTGAGGGTGACTGATTACGTATATGTGTGTGTGAATGTGCCTGTGTAAGTGCGGTAGGTAATGGCAACTGCAAATGGGCTTTCTGCAAGCATAGCCCCAGTGTCCTTAAGCCAAAAGCCATTTGGGAGTGTGTGTGTGTGCCATGTGTGTGTATGCATGCACAGGTGATCCTGGTCGAAAAGGCAGCTCAGCCATGCCGCCGGCTTGCAGCAACGGCTGCTGCTTTGCCTGTAGGAAAAGTGAAATTCACATGGCTATGCCACCAAAGGACTTCGGTTCAAGGACTCAACAATAACCAAAGGCAGCGTCTGCTCCATCTGCTCACCCGCTCATCCGCTCAACCACCCACCTGCCCATCTGTTCTCCTGCCAATTACATTGTTTTGCACGCAGAAATCGCTGTGAAACTCATTCCGAGGCCAAAGCCCATTAAATGCCCAATTAAAATCCAAATGAGCCAGAGAATACAACAAACAAACGCAAGAACAACTGTACGTAAAGCGCGAAATATATACCAGATGGTACTACGATGGATACTACAGGGAAAGCAAAACATGAATGACACTCGGAGTTGTTTATGGGAACCTATTTAAAAAAAAGAAAATGAACCAATTCAGATGAATTGAGACGAATGTGAAATACTCTTGGAGGGCTTGGAAGAGGTGGAAACCTAACTCTGTGGCTCAATAAGGCAAATGTCCCTATTAAATGTAACTCCGAAATTATTGGTTCTTGATTCTAACTTCTGAAAATTAAACTTCGAAAGCTTCAACTCACAAAATCCTCGTTTACTTCTAAATCTCGACTCTAAATTTGTTACGCCTAAACATTGATTCCTAATTTTCAGCTCCCAAAATTTTGCTCCTTAACTATGTAGATGATGGTACTTACATTCTGCATAATTCTCTGGTACTTTTACTAGCACTAGCCGCCCATCTAGTTCACTACTTCAGTTGCTTCGACTTATTTCTCATTATGAATAATTTTGCATAAATGAAAAATGTTACAATGGGTGCTTCAGTTAACAGCCTGTCGGAGTTTGTTGGCTTGGAACAGGTTCTTTGGATGCTCAAAGAAGAGAGGGAAGGGAAGAGACGGCGAGCAGAGAGTGGGGACAGAGCACACTTCTATTCGAACTACTTTTATCAGCTGTCGTCGAATTGCTTGCCTGCCTGTCGTCTGCCTGACTGCCTGCCTGCCAGCCTGTCCTTCTATCCGTCCGTCCATCTGGCGGTTCGGCCTACAGGGCCTGGTAAATCAATGCAATTAGTGTCACATCCTCTGCATTTAATGTCTATGTTTCGTAATCGACTCTGGCGCCAATGCCATGTTTGAAGCTCATTGGAGCCAGTTCCTAACTTTGGCTTTAATTTATTTATATTTATTTGTTAATAGAACAAATATGTGTTGGGCTTTTACAGACTATTTACTTGCATTTAATAACATTTCTATTTTCTAGTTAAAAGTATACTGTTTCGAAATGCTTGCTTTTATAAATGTTTACTTTTTTTTATAATTCTGACTATTTTATATATTAGTAACAAATTTTAAGACCCATTCATAAGCTTAGAACTATTTTATCCAAGACACACACCCTACATATCAAATTATCCCAGCACCACAAGCCATGTCACAGCCCCACAATGGTGAACAAAGCTATACTCACCACTTAGTGCACATGTGCATGTCTTTGCTAAGTCGGTTTAGTGAAGCTCAACACCAGCTGACGGTTTCAATCAAATTCTAAATTCAATAATAAACGTATTCATGCCCTATAAAATTAAGCAATTTGTTTAAAAAAATATTGAAAAAATATTGTACTATGAATACGTACAAATATAAAATTTTTTAAATAAACTAATTGAAAAAAATTGTCTGAAATCCATTTAATTTATATGTAAAATATATAGTGAATCTTATCTTAATATCAAACCCAAAATATATTAAATGACTCATTATGCCTTCATATTAATTTAATTTAATTTATCCTTTTTCTTTGTATTTACTATAATATTTGATATATTATGAGAACCCATTTCATATGGTTTAATTGCTTATAATTTGTAATTTAATATTTTTCTATTACAAAAAAAATATATATATATATATATTTGCTTATCATTATTATTATATCAGGGTCTTACAAATTGTATATATTATAGTTGCTTAAATTGTATTAATTTATATTTTTTATTTGTATACAAGAAAAACTATTTTCCGTTTTTTAAAAAAAAACCTTGAGGTGAACTATTTCACTTTGCGAGTGACTACTGTACCCATTAAGTGACGTCGTGGCAATTAAATTCCTTAGCTGGCTGCAGCACGTTTCGCTCTGCCAGTAAATGTCGCAGAGAGTCGAGCTTCAAATTGCATTTGTCACACATGTCGTATGCGCAATTCCGAAAAGTTGTGAATTAATTATGAATTATTTAATTGTGACTGTGGAGGGGCAGCTAAGTGAGCTGTTGACACGTCGCCGTGAATAAGGCAAGTGGCTCAGTGGTTTCAGTGGTTCAACAAAAGGAAACTTGTTGACAAAAAGCGAACAGCGACCAAAACACGGAAATGTGAATGAGCTAAATGAGAACATAAAAAAAAATATAAAAAAACATGCGCAGGCGCCAGTTTCCATCCTGGAAGCAAGCCTTGAGTGTGCCAGTGCGGCAGGTGGGACAGGCTGGGGGCAAAGTGGTTCGTTCAATATTGAAAGCGTTTGCTGGAAAGACGAAACCACAAAAATGTTTCGACACGTCTCAACTGACGATTCAGTCGCAACCCGAGCCGTGGCCTGACAGCATGTGTACGGTTCCCAGCTGCCCAACGGAAAGGTGTGTGCAACGGTATAACAGCGCAGTAGAACAGTATAACAGCGCAGTAGAACAGCGTGTAGAGTATTCGAATCATGGGCCTGCTCGGCACGCTGCGTCGACTTAGTCCAAGCCCACGCAGCCCCTCGCACGGCATCGAGCTGCAGCATCGCAGTAAAACGCAAGTGGATCTGCAGGTTCCGGTTCCGGTTCCGCCTCCATTTCTGACCACCACTCAGTCCTCGCCCCATCTAACTGAGCAAACGTTGCAGGTGTGGCGGGCATTGCCAGCGGAGATTCGACATGATCCCAGCATGGCGAGCTTTAAAATGGAAAACCAACGCATTCACGGTGAGTCGAGCAGACCCAATAGCAAGCGCAGCTACAGGGTATACGCATGTACAGGAATACTGAAAGTGAATGCTAAATTATATGTGCATAAATGTGCATGCAATCGAAGGTTAGCTCAAAGGAAACACTGCAATTTCTTTCAAGTGCATTGCACATGACAATGAAATACCCTGTACTTAAAAAAATGCACATTATTTTACCATTGTCTAATTTACCAGGAATAAGATGCTGAATTTAAAAGTTGAAGCACAAAGTTGATATCTATAACAGAACCCAATTATTTACTATTATTTATTAGGGATAGGGATAGATTACTACATGATTATAATCCTATAACTTATTTTGTTTTTTTTTTTTTAGACAGTGAAGGGTATCTTCAAGTCGAGCAACCATATATCTTTCCCATACATCCCCATAAAAGGTCCTCAAATCATTTCAAACATTTCCAATCTAATCGCAAGACTATGTATAAAAGAAATTATTTTAAAGGGTATCTGCTAGTGGAACAGCAGTTAATTTACTTTTTAGTCTATTGAGTGGGATAAATTAACCTAAAAGCAGTCAAAACATTTATCTTGAGTCCTATCGATTATTAAATAACGTCAGACCCGTTAGATTGAATAGCATTTGACAAGCACTTGACAAGCTCTTGACAAATACTTGGCAGGCAGATGAAAAGCACTTGACAGGCAATTGAGTCTCGGTGGTAATAAATGTGTTTTATTTCATTGACATATGTGAACAGGCTCCATGGTCGCCGACAGCGAGGCGGAGGAGCACGAGGTGGAGGTCGAGCTGGATGTGGAGGAGCCAGATGATCGTAAGTCCAGCTATGCCGGCTCCGATTTTCTGGACATCAAAATGAAGCCGAACTACGACGGCGACAAGAGCACAGACGATGAGGCGACGACCATTCACTCGGATCACGAGCCGCATGCAAATGGACCCGGCAGCGCCAAGGCCGTGGCTCGACGACTGCATCACAAATCGAAGAGGTCCAAGGAGCAACAGCAGCGGGATAAACGCTTGAAGAGATGCTGCCTGCTCGTCATCTGGGTCGTAGCAGCCGGCGTCCTGATCAGCGTGGGCGAGAAGCAGCTGCTCGAGAAGATTGTGCAGGTGCCCAAAGGGGAGATTGGCAAATGTAGGGCATCGACACCACTCCTACATCTCTCTGCAGTCTAATCTCCCGCTTAGTTTTTCAGCTGGAGCAGAAGCCCATGGGCGACTTCTACCTGAGGCTGGAGGGCGCTTTCGAGCAGTCCTTCAAGCAGTTGCAGACTGAGCGGGAGGAGAACGAGACGGATAGTCGCAGTTATCTGTTTGTGCAGCCGCAGTTGTCCCACAACAGGAGTCGGGACTATGAGGTAAAGCTGAAGAATAGAGCAAATACTCTGCCATCAAGTCAATTTTCCTTTCTCTCTCTTTCTCTCTATCTCTCTTTCCATAGGACGTCTTATCACCCTGGCAGCTGCCTTTGGTGCCGGATGATGAGCTTTTCAGGTCGCCCGCCGTGCATCGCAATCACACCTTTCACATAACCCCCGAGTTGGGTGAGTTGCTCGCCCATCGGGAAGCTCGGATGCGTTTGCGCATCTACAGCAATGCTCAACAGGACTTGGCTGTGGATCTCAGCTATAATCCGTTGATTGTGAACAATCGCACCGGCAGCATTCTAGCGGGACTCATACTGCTCCTCTTCTATGGCCTGCTCATCTCGGAGCAACTTGATCGTCCATTTGTGGCCATCATCTGTTCAGTGCTCTCTGTGACGGCCTTGGCTGCCTTTCAAGATCGCCCCAACATGGAGGAGATCAAGCAGTGGATGGACATGGAACTGCTCACCCTACTCTTCTGCATGATGCTGCTCATTCTCATACTCACCGAGACGGGTGTCTTCGACTATCTGGCCGTCGTTTGCTTTGAGGTTTCGGGCGGCAAGATCTGGCCGATGATCTATAGTCTCTGCGTGATCACTTGCCTGGTGTCCAGCGTGCTGGACAACATGACCACAGTGCTGCTGCTCACACCAGTTGCGATACGTCTGTGCGAGGTCATGCAACTGGATCCCATACCCGTTGTCATGGGCATCATTGTCCACGCGAACATCGGCGGAGCTCTGTCACCCATCGGCGATCCCATTAGCATCATCGTGGGCACGAACCGCTTTATCGTCGAGAATGTGAGTCGAATACTTGATTTGATTTTTATTTTTCGATTGGGTTTTTAATATTCGTAGAGGTATAGAGATCATAAAGATAGTAGATATAGAAGAGATCGTTGAGCTCGTCGATATGATAGGGATCGTCAAGATCGTAGAGGTCGTAGAGATTGTCGATATAGTAGGGATCGTACAGATCGATAGACCGATTAATAGATACAAACATATATCGTTCGGTTTATTAATAGATAGATGGAAAGGTACTCGATCAGTAGGTACTCTAATTGATATATCAATAGTTAAACACCTGGATAGAGGCCAGATAATCAGATCGATTCGAAGACTAATTTCAAAATGGATATTTTGATAGAAAATCTGAAAGTTTTATTTCCTAAAACTTTTCCCCTTCAAACTCTTTTTTGCAGGACATCAACTTTTTGACATTTATGGCCCATATGATGCCCGGCGTAATCTTGGCCTTGCTGCAGAGCTGCGTCTACTTACGCATCTACTATCGCAACATGGATGAGCTGCGTCTCAACGAGCCCAAGGAGCTGGGCGAGCTGCGACGTGAGATTAAGGTGTGGCAACGTGCTTTGAATGCGATTGGAGCCTGCTCGAAGGACGCGCAGCTGGTGCGTGGCACTCTGCAGGGCAAGGTCAAGCAGCTGAAGCGCACATTGCGACGTAAGGAGCGAGGCGTTGGCTCCACCGAGATCTATGCGAGCACGCTCGACGAGTTAAAGCAGAAGGTATGACTGTGCGAGATGATATTATATGATACAGTGCAAGCTAATATGATAGTAAAATTTTAACTTTTCTGAGAAGAGATTTTTGTGTGCATACATCATCAATCAATCCATCAAATATATTTATTATACTCTTATCAATGCTCCCATCATTCAATGAGGTCTAGATAAAAGCACTAAAGCTAGCCTCCCTAAGTGCTTAGCCCTTATATATCAATCATCAGTCATTCAGTCAGTCAGTCATCATGTTTAATAAGTAAATATATCAACTTCTGTGGCATATTTAGCATTAAATCAAATGCGAGGAAAAATGCCGCTTCCTTGCTCTAACTATTTAGCCATTGCAGAAATCGTCAATCAATCAATCAGTCAATCAATTTTATGTATATTCACTGAGTTGGTCAACTTTTTATAATATTTTGTAGACGAAGTGATCAATCATTTATCATAACCCGGATCGATTGATCTAATCAGCCAATCAATCATGTACTCTCCTTGCAGTACCCCATCAAGAACAAGAAGCTACTACTCTTATCGACCGGTGTCCTGGTCTTCGTCATCGTCTGCTTCCTGGTGCAGTCGGTGCCCCGTTGGCGCACCTTGCCCCTCGGCTGGGTCGCGCTGCTGGGGGTGATCCTGCTGCTGATTATGGTGAATCGCGAGGATATGGAGCATCTGATACACCGCATCGAGTGGACAACGCTGCTCTTCTTCGGCGCCATGTTCGTGATGATGGAGTGTGTGGAGCGACTTGGGCTGCTCGTCAGCATTGCCGAGTTCACGGAGCACGTGATTCTCGCCGTGAATATGGAGCACCGTCTCACGATGGCCATAGTCGTCATATTGTGGACCACGGCGCTGGCCTCGTCCATCTTGGACAGCATACCCGTGGCGGCGATGATGGTCAAGCTGGTCACCTCGCTGGTGGCCAAACAATCGCTCGGCCTGCCGCTGCAGCCCCTCGTCTGGGCCCTCACCCTGGGCGCCTCCCTCGGCGGCAATGGCAGCCTCTACGGCGCCTCGGCGAACGTCATTGCCGCCGGCATTGCCGAACAGCATGGCTACAAGCTCTCCTTCACGCGGTATCTGAAGACCGTGCTGCCCCTGATGCTGTGCCAGATAGTCCTGATGACCATCTATCTGCTGCTCGCCCACAGCGTCTTCGAGTGGAATTAATTGCCAAGATAGGCAAAATCCCAAATAATTCAAATAATAATTGGATATTTAAAAAATTTTAACTATTTATATGATTGTTTTTGCTTGATTCATTGCTAATCGTTCTGTATAATATAATATATAAATTTAATATACATCTATAAATTAAATAGAATATATATGTATGTTCAATCTAGATTTTCTTCTAATGTTTACTCAAAAATAAAATTCCTTTCACATTAATTATGAAACAAGTTTTTAATTCCATTTTTTTACCTGAGTAAAAACAAATTTTTAATTGAATTTAATAAGTTTACTTTAATAGTGAGCATGTATATGATCAGTACATACATCAGTAAATACTTTAACTTAAGATTCGTTGAGCATCAATCAGTCAATCAATTAGCCTGCAATCAGTCATTAGATCTTACTTTTTGTAAAACATACAGATTTTACAGACTTTCTTAGCTGAGCCTGACTTTGTTTTTATTATATAATATCTCTCATTTGTGAGCCTTGAGCCTTTATGGCATATTCTGCCTGTCTCTGTAAAAAGATATAGGGTTGCTAGAAAGGTGCTCCAAATATGGACAGCCCTGTAATTGAAAGCCAATTTTTAATATTTCCACGCTTACTTAGTATCTAGGCTGTTATAAACTCTGAAGGGAGCTCACAGCTAAAACCATTTGGGAATTACAGCACAATGCTCTAAAGCGCAGCTTCGCAGTATATTTGGATTGGGATCTACTCACTGTTGACATATTTATTACAATTAATGTGACCATGGAGGGCACTTTGGATAAGACTCTCAAGCTGTTCGTGAAATTCTCGAGCGTGTAGGCAATTTGTTACGTCTGGGAAAATGGGAAAACAATCAATTTGGCTGTCAAGTGAAAGCAAATGAGGGCACAGATTAGCGAGCGGAAAACTGAGCGAACTGGGCAAAGCAACGGAGAAGAAAAACAAAAACCAAACATTGGTTCCGCTTTCCATGCTTCGCCACAACAAATGTCACTTTTCAGTTTTTTTCCATCGAATCAATTTTCAGTGGACGCAACGCAGAGCTCGACCGCGGTTCGATGTCAGCCAAAAGGCGAACCGAGTGGTGCCAACGCATTTTAATTAGCCAAAACGTGAAGAAAATTCGCAAAATTCAATAAGAAAACAAAAAATGTTTGGAAAATGCTAGACAAACAAAGTGCGGCACAAGTGAAGAGCGGGAGAGACGCAGTGGGGCATACATGAATTTAAATACAAAATAATTATAAAATAGAAAATTAGAATTTTCCAAGCCAAGCGAATATGTCGTCGTCCTACACGTATTCAAAGCCCACCTTTACCATCACAGATCATTCGTATGATCCCTTCCACCTGCAACCTCTGGAAACTGCAGCGGCCAATGGCGAGGACGATGACAACGATCCCGATGAGGATGCGGATCGCTATACCAAGCTCCAGGATCTCGTACGCTGGCTGCACTTCAATGCCAAGCATCGTCGCAGCTGGTAAGTCGCAGGTCCTTTATCCAAATCAAGTATACGCCGCGTGCGGCCACTTTTATTTGTCTGACAGAAAGTTTTTCAATTAAGCAACTCGAGCATTTAATTGGCCCTAATGGCATTGGGAACGTTTCCCCGTCTGTTGATTTGGTCTTAAGTACTTTTTATTGGGCATTCGTGCTTCGAGCCCCTTTTCTTCAGGACCTTAGTGCTGCTTTTCTTGGAAATCAAATCTTTTCCGCTTGAAGACTATTCCAACAAATCGGCAAATTATTCATTTGGCTTAGTTTTCCCAACTCAAGTGACATTTTTGGTCGACAACAAGAGTTTTTATTTATTCTGCCCAGCAAATTGTGAAAAATGTGACACAAATGGCTTTATCTATATTTTTATGGCAGAGGACAGCAACCAGATAGATAGAGGAAGATGGCAAGCATAGATATACAAGAAAGCAGATTGGATCTATATCGATTCCTTGCCCTGCTCAGCATGCCTTGCCAGGGTGGAAAAATAAATAAATAGCTGTAGCTATATTTTGGAAAATTTTAATATAAATTACATATACATTTGATATATACAAACTCATAAATCAAAATAGTTATCTATTAAAAATGACACTAAATAAATTACTAAAAAACAATTGTACATAATATTCATGCTAAAGAAAAATTAAATTAAAATTAATAATAAAAATATTT